TATATAGGATCCGAAGTTTAGGTTCACACTGGGCCAGGGTTGAATTCTAGTTGACCCAATTATGCAGTCGGGTGCGGCCGACAAAAACGGTCACCTTTCCTTGGCCCAACCCAACTCGAATAAGATATATAGGATCCGAGACCAGAAAGTAATTCATCTTTTGAGCTGCTTTGGTCAACTTGACCCTGACCCGAACCCTGCCCTTTCTTATTGTTTTAGACCAAACCTACCTGGGCAGAACCCTGATAGGCCCTAATCTAAACTGTTGAGATCATCTATTCGCATGAGAAGACCAAATTGTCCCTTATAATAAAATATGTCCATATTCAAAAGGAAAACAGTTTATATAAGGTCACAACCTTAAATTGTAGGATTATAGCTGCACCTCAAAAATCTATTAAAAAGTGTTGTTTTGATGTTGAAAAACCCTCTAATTGATTTCAGGTCCCAAAAATAGTGTATCTTGCAACATATTATCTAGTCTGTTCATTTTCAAGATTTTCATGTGTTTATAGATGTACTTGATTTGACCCATTTTTGGAGTTTAAAAATTCAAAATTAGAGATGAAAATGGATTATAAATCCATCCTAACAATTTTTACACCAAAATTATATCTTATGATAAAATTTGGGGGTGCATCTTATTTGGATTGTTTAAATTTGCAACCTTATGTAAACCACACCTTATACAAAATAAGTTCAGAAGTGTACTATATTATTAAGCCATATTTAAGGGGCGGATTTATGTCACAAGAATAAAATGGGATCCTATCTCTAGAGGCAATATAGGGCAGTTTCCCAAAAATTAGAGGGAGCTTACAACTAATTATTTAGGGATATATTTACAAAGTGTGATAGATGGAGAGGGAAATATTTCATGAGATGTCCTTTTCCATAAGTATCTCCCTCCTCCAATAATTTATGGGCAATTTTTACAAAAAATCCATAAATCCTTTGCAACACAGTCCTTATATCCTTAATTCCTTCTCGGATGCGGACTTCCTGCTATTCCGACTAGGCAACCACAGCCATGGAAGGAGCACCATGCAAATGACCGTTGGTTTCCATGGACATTAGACTAATGGGCAATTAAGGTCACTTCAGCATATCAAATAGTATGCTACAAGTATCACGATACACGTGAACCGAGAGCTCACCATTTAGGAAAGGAGGAAAGGTTTGATCAGCGTATTGATTAGTTTGGGAAAGTGAATGGTTTGTTCTCAGTGAAATCAGTCTGTCCCTAGTTGTTACTCTTTCATGATCGCATTAGATGGTCCAATGATGAGTTGTACGTAATTTGGAAGTATCCTATCCCTCCCAAAATTCAGGCATTCTTATGAATAGCTTTACAAGTCTAACTATTGACAATCTGCTCAACTGCGGTAAAATTCTACCACTTGATGTGCAAATGAGCTCAGGAGACTCCAAATCATCTATTCCTCCAATTTTTCTTTCATATTTGAGAGTAGGCTTTTAGGAAATTGACATTTTGCTTATGCTTCCAGAGCATCCGATAAACATCATTAATCACTTGAATTTTGTTGGACTTCCTTTCAAAGGACAGATTATTGAGCAATTATTTGAGAGCTATGGCGTGAAAGAATAGAAAAGACCTTTGAGGGCGTTCAGCTGGACTTAAAGGCTATCAAGTATAAAGTCCTCCAATCTCTTTAAAATTGGTACTCTATAACCAAAGAAGGCAAGGGAGTTTCTGGGGTGAATATATTGCTTAATCTGAATAATCTTGTCTTTAATTGTGTATCTAAAAGCCCCTACAAAAACTTTTCAAACTTAATTTTGATGGGAGCTCATTTAAAAACCCAAGATTAACAAATATTGGAGGTGTCCTAAAGAATTATAAAGGTTCCATCGTCTTTTTTTATGCAGGTCCTTACAGAACGGTGATGGCAAATTACACTGAGCTCTCCTGACAACTGTATGGTTGGGAGCTATTCCTAAAAGAAAGGTTTTGCGGGTTCACTTATTGTTGTAAGTGATTCCCTAAACTCCGGTGCAATACAGAGCATAGGGTGCCTCGTCCCTTCATCCTATTTGGTTAAAAATCTTCGATCTTTATGCCTCTACTTCTTTTACAGTTTCCTTTACCCACGTTTGCCATGAGGGCAATGGTAGACTCAAGCAAAATGTTGGGTGTGCGTAACTTCCTTTATTGGTGTTGATGAGATGATCTCTGTTTTGTACTTTGCCGCCTTTGAAATAACTATATTAAAGCCTTTGAACTTTTTTAAGTTCATGTTCCTCTCGCTTTTGAAATAATCATCCAAGTTTTATTTTAATTATTTGAAGCTGGCTACATGAATCATGTTCCTCTATTTTTCTCTATCAAAGGTCATACCCTCTGTAAGATCAAAATGTCACTACATATTTTCTCAATACTTCAGTGTTCTAAAAATCGACAGGTTGACTGGGGACCAGTGGGGTACTGAGCCAATACTCGCATGGAGTCCAACGAGTTTCCAAGGACACTTTTTTTAAACTACAGAAATTAAAAATTTTAATTTTCTATTTTTATTATTTTTCCAACTAATAGTCCATACAAATTTGGACAAAAATTATCCTCTTAGCTTCGAAAATTCATTCTTTCCGTCCAAATTTTCATTTGGGCAAGGCAAAGTTTCTCATAAAATCTTGTCATTTTTAAGCCCTAAGAGCTAACCCGCCCTAAGAGCTAACCCGCTTTATGCAATCTCTCACTCATTTCTCAACCAAATCGTCTGCCATTTGATTCAAAATGTTTCATAACAAGTAAAACAAAAGAAATCAAGAGTCCAACTTCTAGTGGTTTCTTTTAATAAATATTCTTCGATTTTACTCTCATTTTTTTCATCAATTTTATTTAAATTTGTTCCAAAATGTATTACATTGATCTGTAAATGGCCTAAGTATTTTTTTTAATTCCAACCATAAATCTGTAACATCATTTATTTATTACAGCATTTTTATTTTAATTTGATTTTTATATATACCTCCTGCTATCTGAAAGCATTTTCAATCTTTTTTCCTTATTTTTCTCTATATTATCTATGTTTTGTTTCTTTGAAAAAATTATCAAAACACACCTGACCTTCCAAAAGAATTTATCATTTACCTATTTCCAACTATCCAACTCGACGGTCATGTGCATTCTAATCACTAATTTGGTATACATGGGAAAGACGTTAAACGTGCATTCTAATCACTAATTTGGTATACATGGGAAAGACGTTAAACGGTTATGTACATTCTAATCACTAATTTGGTATACATGGGAAAGACGTTAAATATTTGGTCTCTTATATATATTTTAGGGAATAGTATAAATAAAACTCAAGACCACGCTTTATATGCAATTTACCACTAACTTAGCTTTTTTTCACTTTTTCCTCTAAAACAAACTTTCTATGTAAATACTCCCAAAAGAAAAAATTCATTTTTAGATGAAAATGCCCTTCCCTTATACAAAAAATATATGCAAATACTCCCAAATGGAAAATTTCAATTTTTTTAGATGCAAATGCCCTTTTTATATACAAAAAAAACATTTTCGCCACGACTTTTGGACCCAAACCAGAAGTATTGGACTTTTGGACCCAAGCCAGACTGCCTAAGTATTGCCAGACCCAAGCCAAACCGCCCTAATTATTGCTAGACTGTCGGACCTTTACATAGTAAAAGAACCCTCGAATCAAGTAACATCTACTGCCCTCGAATCAAGTAACTGAATCAAGTAACATCTACTGTCTTGTCGGACTGCACCTAGAATCAATAACATCTACTGCCTAAGGGACCGCGCCTTGTCGGACTGCGCCTAGAATCAGTAACATCTACAGCCGAACCGTCCTTTGCAACTGCCTAAGGGACCGCGCCTAGAATCAGTAACATCTAATATACAACCGCACTGCCAGAACTTTGTACAACCGCACCGCCAGAACTTTATACAACCGCACTGCCAGAACTTTATACAACCGCAATGCCAGAACCCGTAATGGGATAGAGGAGAACCGCAGTGCCAGAACCCTTGATGGGAACTTTATACAACCGCAGTGCCAGAACCCTCAACCCTTGATGGGAACTCTATACAACGGCAGTGCCTGGGATAGAGGAGAACCGCAGTGCCAAAACCTTTGATGGGCTAGAGGAAAGAGACCCATGGAGAAGGCAGCGCCAGAACCATACTGCCGGAACCCTTGATGGGATAGAGGAGAGACGCATAGAGACGGCAGTGCCAGAACCCTCGATGGGATAGAGGCCCACACTTTATACAACTGCTGTACCAAAACTTTATACAACCACAGTGCCAGAACCCTTGATGGGAAAGAGGAGAGAGACGCATGGAGACCGCCCTGCCATGGGATAGAGGAAAGCTCAGAACGTTTGATGGGATAGAGGAAAGCTCCCCATGCCCGCACTGTGGGAGCCCGTATTTTGGTGGGATAGAGGAGAGAGAGACATGGGTAAAAATAAAAATAAATTAATATAAATTAGTTTTTTTTTTTTTCTTTTTAAAATTGAGAGTATTTACATAAAAAGTGTATTTTGAAAAAAAAATAAAAAATGAGAGAAAAAGTTGGGTTGAAAGTAAATTGCTTAAAAATGTAGTCTTCAAATTTTTTTTGTAATTTTTTCCATACTTTAATAAATTTTCATTAATTTTTTTTTAAATGAATGATTCGGCCAATCCAACTCGGCAACTAAGCCGTTTCCATTCGGAAGGTTGTTACCCAACCGACCCACCTGTTCAATTTTTAAAACACCGTACGAGACACTCGGTTCAGGGCGAAAGGTGTCTCTTTCCAACGTCCCTCTTACAAATCAAGCTGATCAACCCAAAAAAAATAGGTCTGGGTTTTTCTCTTTTCGCCTTGGTTTATTGCAAGACAACCTGCTTTACCTCTAAGCAGCAAAATTTGGTCCCAAGTCCAAGAGAAAAGTGTGAGACTTGAACCATGGACGAATCTGTTGTGTGCGTGAGAGAGATGAGAGCTGGAACACAAATAGAAAGAATCAACCAACTTTGACTTGCATTTTCTTGATGAACTGCATTCAAGCACCAGAAAAGAAAAGAAAAATACAAAAAAACGAAAAGAAAACAAACACAACAGGTAAACCTAGTTTCTGCAGTCAATAGGACCCACAAAACCCTAGTATCTGTTTACACTGGCACTAAACCCATGTAAACAGGCATCATACAATCATCAATAATTATAAATGAAAAAGACTTATCTAGACTTTAGACCCATCTCAAAGGCCCAGCTAAACCCACAAACATAAGCTAGAGGAAGCCACCTCCCGTCCAAGAAGACTCAGATTTCCCATGCTTGTCAGAACTGCCTTTGGTTGAAGCTTCAAAGAAATCATTGTGGTCTTCGTCTTTCACATCGTCCCAACCTGCCCAACCATCCCCACCTCCTTGTGCCCCTTTATCATCCTTTACTTTATCCTCTTTTCTACCCCAATCATCCCATGAGTATGAAGATTCACTTCTATCATAACCATTCTTCTGATTATGATCCGAACCTTTACTATTTTCCTCGCTGAAAGCATGATAATAGCCACCATTTCCCTCACCAGAGTACCCATTGTGGTTTTGGTGATTATCTGAGAACTTGGTAATTCCTTCTTTTGTGTATTCCTCCACCTTTTGGGATGCAATGGCCATGACCCCTCTCATTAACCCCCATGTCTTCTGCCCAATCTCGGTAGTCTTGGACGCAACCACTGACACAGTCTCGTTAACCTTGTGATCATAGCCCCCTTCTCTCACCTGCGGCAAAGGTTTTTGGATGCCACGAGCAAAGGAGTGAGACACAGTTCAACAGGATGATAGTATCATTATTAAGATAATTCTTCATGTAATAACAGGATATCAATAATAGTTTGGAAACAAGCCATTACAGATATGATCCAAAGACTCCTTAAGAAGGATCAACAAATAAAATAGTAATATTTGCAGGATAAGCAAATGGCGAGGACTTGATACGGAAAAGAAAAACAGAAACCAAATCCAACAGTGAGAAGCTGAGTGACATGTCAGATTTTTGCACCAAGTGAATTATACACCAAAAATTTTCATCAAAAAAATAAATCAAAAATCAATTTGATTTCCCCTATTCCAAAGCATGTTGAGACCATGTTTTTTAAGGTTTTGATACAAATTGAAATTAGTTGTGATACAAATGCTAGTTCTCTCCAAGCTCCTTCATAGTGTGATAGTAATGCACACTTCCCAGAACTCGTGGTGGAGCCCATAAAAGCATCCCTCTAAAGAAAGTTGCAGACAAAACCGATATAGACTCTTCCACTTCAAAGTACTCCAGCCATTCCTTTGAATGTAGCCTCCAAGGAACCAGGGTATTGAATCCTCATAGCAATGTTCGTGGAGAATGTAATACTGTTGAGGACAAGGTTATGGCTGATTATGAATCTGCCCCTCTAAATGTGATGGAAGCAACTGAGGAGTGCTTATATGGCATACTTTATAAGAAGCACAAGGGACACCTTCCCTAACAAGCACCCCTCAAACAATGCCCTCTATTTTCAGAAATCTGACCAGCACTTCCATACATGAATTATGATAGCTTTCACAATGTTATTAAAAAAATAATAATGAAATCTTTTCACAAATATAAATGAACCAAGAGAACAAATTTTTTAAAATGGTTATCCAAAAATTACATGAGTAGCACCAACTCAAGAACCTCACATGCAACAAAGATAAACACAAACAGAACATGCTGCAAGAACCTCTTAAAATCTATGGAAAGATTACATGTAAGAACCAGTAAGGGAGATTTAATGAGCAAATCAACCGATGGAAGTGCATCATAGGTTCACTAACTCAATGTAGCTTCAGCTCAAAACAAGAAGGAGATTTAATGAGCTAAATAACCAATAGGAGTGCGCCATAAGTTCATTAACTCAATGTAGCTTCAGCTCAAAACAGAAAGGAACTTCATCACACACAAGGACCCTCAAGAAAATAAAGATCCTTGTTTTTTCTTTCTTTGTTTTGATGACAAGCAGCTACAAGAGTGTTGAGGAAGAACTTCAACAGTACTAAAACGAACACTACAACAGTATCTGAGAGACATATTCCAATGGCTTTATAGAAATTGCCATTTTACAAAACCATAATCATATATAGAAAGACATAAGAAGGATATGTATAGCAAGAAACAACAAGAACCAATTATATCACAGAAAAAAGAAATTATTTGTAAACAAGAAGTTGGGAGTCAGAGTGCAAACATGAAAAAGTCGCATTCTTCAAAAAACTAGAAGAAACGGTACAGAACTTCAGCCAAATGAGAACCACAGCATGCTCTTCTTTAAAAATATCAAAGGTAACAGGTTGAGTGCAAATGGATTAAAAAAATAAAGTAGTCTTCTTTATTTGTTTGAACTGCAACCAGGACAATAATGATGAAAACAGTAATTACTTATAGCAAGAAAATCAGTAGACGATGAAAGCTACAGAAAGATCTTGCTTTCACACAGTCTGTCCATCAAATGTCCATTACAGGTCTACATATAGTGTACCACTGCCAAAAACAGAAATAGATTCTTGCAAGCAGTGTTTAGAAACTCGGGCAAGTCCGACTCGGACTAGCCCAAGTAACTCCAAGCCGACACCTTCACAGTTCCAGATGATCTGACTTGGATGATCCATGTCTCAATCAATTCTGATTGAGTCCTGACAGAGTCTCTCCAGGTCCCTTAAAAACCAATGATTTGTGTCTGAGTCTCGACCAGTCAGACTCAGGACTCAACTAGCTGACTAGAACCGGCCCGACTCAACTAGCTGACTAGAACCGGCCCCCTACCCAGTTTCATGCCCAGTTTTATTTTTTTAAGCACTGCTTCTAAGTAGGGCAAGGAATGAGGATCTTTAGGTGTTTAGTAGATACCAACGAATAGCCCATGTGCTGCACGATGCTCTTGCCAAGAAGAAATATTTTATTAAAATATTTAATAATGATAGGATTCGTAGGAATGAATATTTCATTTTATTTTTATTTTTAAATCAAACAATGTTTTTTGATGGATAATTTTAGATCATTCAAAATTACTTATCTAGTTGGTTACTTTCTAACCTAATTTTTACCTGATTTCTCATATTTAATTTATTTCCTAAATTCCAACTATTTGCTAATTTTTCTAATGCACACAGTTATTGCTATTTTTGATGGATAATTTAGATCATTTAAAATTACTTATCTAGTTGGTTACTTTCTTATCGAATTTTTACCTGATTTCTCATATTTAATTTATTTCCTAAATTCCAACTATTTGCTAATTTTTCTAATGAACACAGTTATTGCTACTTTATTGAGATAAATACCTAATTGGTTCGATAAGAATTCTTATTCTCACTAAATAGAGTTTAGAGAGAGAGATTTTATTAATATTAAACAGAACAAGTTCACAGTCCAAGCTATGCATGAGAGAAGGGGGGTGTTACGTATTTTAGGAATAACATTTTCTTCCTTGGAGTCCCATTTTTTTGAGTCTATAGATTGAAATTCCATAAAAAGAAATATAAATTTAATAAAGAAGTGAACCCCCCTTTTTGTGCAACTGGATTCAGGTTGCGTCTAGCAACCCAAATATGGACACACTCGCAGGAATGCTATTTTAACTCGATAGAGAATGGCAAGAGTAATTTTAAGAAGATGAGGCATACATGACCTCAGAGGGAGGAGAGATTTTGCAAAAATGGGAGGAAAGCAATTCACGAAGAAAAAAATTTGAAAATGACATTCTTATTTTTTTCCCCTTCTAAATATGGATTAGAGAGAACCTAGTGAAATATGCAGAAATACATAAGTCACCCCACTGACCACCAGTTATAATTCCAGAGTGTTAGTCATTGCTTCCAAGTAGTCAATTCAAGTTTCCCATGATGAATGGTTGTGTTTTATACATAGTTGTTAGGATCGGGAGCTGGAATGGTACAGGGATCGAAATCGGGAGAGAGGGATCGTGAAATGCTAGAAGATCCCTATGGTTGGAAACGCTATTCGTACAATGCACATGTTAGGGATTGAAATCCCCAAATGTTAGGGATCGAGATTCCAACCTTTTGGGGATCTATATCCCAACCTTTTAGGATCTTGATCCCAACTTTTTAGGGATTTTGTTACCAACCTTAAAGTGTATGATAATCTAAGATTATGTATACTCATTAAAGTTGGTGTCTCATTATTGATAGCAAGCAAGCAATAGTTGTGTTGCTAATTGGCTATAAACAAATGAAATCATCAGTTTGGTTGTTGTCTTGGCCTTCAAGGTTGAGATCGAATTCCTAACACCAGGAATCGAGATCCCAAATTTTAAAAATCGAAATCCCTGAGAGATCCATTCCTGAAGTGACAGAATCAAGATCCTAGAAGGGGTTGCCTACCAAAGTAGGAGATCCCGGTAACTATGGTTTTATACAAACACCTTCAACTCTTCCCAAGGGTAGACATCACTGATCAAAATGACAGGGCTTTCAACAAATTCATAGTTGACAACATAGTTATGATCATGGGGATCGAATAAGTTCCAGGATCATGACTATTACCGATTGCATGACAAGTAGGAAGATACCCATAGCAGAGATCACAGTCAATACTCCTTGAAAATCTAGGGATCTCGATCCCAATATGTGGGGAGCTTGATCCAAATTGAATCGGAATACATAAATCATGTTCCACCATTCCACTCTATCAAAGGCCATGACCTCAGTCAGACCATAAGTCATCGTATCTCTTCTCACTATTTCCATCTATGTCTTTTTGGGCCTCTTGCCCTTTTAGAGCCTTCCACTTGAACCAAATCATCCCTCCTTACCTTATCAATATTGTTCTAGCTCAATTTCCTATATATAACTATATAATATACACTATATATTGTATGGAATAGACTATGGCATTACACCACACTTCTAGACTATATCTTACCGCTAAACCAGATACTATACCACAATGCTATGCTATACTATGCAGTTATATACAGTTATACTATATTACAATGCTAGGGAATATGGATTCCTTGTAACTCAAAATCTCAATTACTGGTACAAAGGCGAAGGACCAAGAATCCAAAGTTTAAAATTGCAGAGTAGAGAGATTCCCATCCCTGGAGCACAAAAGTGAGATTATGGAGTGGAATCGATCCCTAAGCTGGAAGATCCCGGTAACTGTGGTTGACATTGGCAAATTGCTGATGTGCTTCAATGATTTACACACTCAATGCTCGATCACGAGTAGCCATACCATCATCTCTTTCGTTTCTTCTCACGATTTAAACTAGACTTGAGGTAAGACAAGAGAAGGGTCAGTCCAATCCAATTTATACAAAAATCCTTTCTTGCCTATATACACATTATTCTCATGACATTGGTTTTACATCTACCAACAAGGGTGCCAACCAGCATAGAACAAGAGATACAGAAATGGAAATGGAAATAGAGAAAGAGGGACAAATGCAAGCAACGGACCATAGAGAAGGGGGCCCTAATGGGTTGTTTTTCTTTGTTTTGTGTTTTGCGGGGGGGATGATAGGCGCAACAAAGAGAACAAGAACAAATCCCACCAGTCGGACTGAGCAAACATGATTTGGGGTCGGCTATATGAATCATGTTTCTACATTCTTCTCTATCAAGGGGCATACCCTCAGTAAGACTAAAAGTTCCTATATCTTTTCTCACTACTTCTATCCATGTCCTTTTGGGCCTTCCCCTTGCCTTTTTAGGCTAGATCCAGTCTAATCTTCAAAATATTTGGTCTTTATTTCTTTTCTTCCTTGTGCTATCCATAGAAAATAAATAAATCAAAGAAAAAATTCAAGCCAACAACCAAGTGACTATGTGATTTAAGGAGAGTAAGATTTGCAGTGATACTTTAAAATAAAGGTGGTCTAATACAGCAATACAACCTCATTAAGAACAGGGTTTTAAGATGACTAGTTATAGGTGGCTAGCAATATCGAGCGTCGAATGAAAGCCAAAAGTTATGATTGCCTGTGAAGCGAGCCAAAGAAAAGTTATAAGGCTACGAGAAAAAGGGACAAGGAATTTCTAAGAGACATGTAGATGGGTGTAGAAACAGCGAATGACTAGGTGAACATCAACTGTGGAGTAGGCTATGCCAAGAATATTCCCTTTTCTTGAAAGAAAAGTTAATGATTCTAGTCAGTATTTTAAAACTCAGCGACTTGGGAGCAGACATCACTTAGATCAGGAAGGATCCCAGTTTTGGTTCAAAATCTTAGGACTCAATCGTGTCTCCCCAAGTAATCGTCCCTACTGTGCTATTTTAGCAAAGGCTCGACAAAGTCTTGGTGAGAAACATCCGCATAGGACTGCTAAGTCAGGCTTGGTACCCAAACAAGTCAAGCCTAAGTCTGTGTTTTTAATCACTGATTCCAGTAAATGTAGTGAATGCCATGAGTAATAGTTAGCCTATTGATCCAAGAATTCAAGGAGTTTGAACCATCTTACCTTGGGGGACTGTAGGGAGGAAGATAGTGGGGGACCTAGTACAAGAAGGCTCTGACTATGACTGTGCTTTGAGAATAGCCCTTGAAGTGTTATTCTACTAAACAATTTCTAGGATAGCTAAATGTTTCCTTCCAGATTGGAATCTGAAGACACGGGCTGAAGGAATAAACCGAGAAAAGTAATAAACTAAATGGGACTGCTGAGAAGCCAAGTAATCCAAAAAAATTTATCATATGTACACGTTAATTGAAATTGAGTATTAGTATGCATAAATATGGTCATAAACAATTAAAGGAGAAGGTCATCCAGCAAATTGTTGTGAGACGGCATCATTAAATGAAAGGACCAAGTCCCTGCTCCCAAGGTTGAAAATGGGATATAATTCCCCCATCAATTAGCTAGATTGTGGCATATGGAATCGTAGGTTCATTTTTTTCGATAGTTTGTAGTTTTGGTGTTTTACAACTGGCTGTAACATTGATTTAGGGTTACTCTAGGTAACATACCAACATATCTTTCATTTTCATTTAAAAAAGCATTATCCATCCAAGTAATAATACTAGGGTCAATTTTTCAAATCCAACCCAAAGTCAATATCATCTAACATTTCCAATTAGTATGTAACTGTGTGTTTCAAAGCATAAGATCACTTTTCTTTTCTTATCAGTAAGCTTAACATCACCTATCAGTTTCTAAATCATGTTAATAATTCATAAATAATAAGAAAATAGGCAGCAACACTGGGATCAGAACATGTGAGTATGCATAGATTTTGTGCACTTGGATGATGATTCCTAGTCGTTCTTAAACAAAGCACTTTCTTGTACTGCCTTCTCGAGGACTGTTTGTAATATCACCATCAGTCATAACTCAATTAATCTGTATTGCATTCCCAGTAAATTCCAAACGCAGCAACAAAATCAACTCAATGATGGCAGAATGAACAACAATATGAACAAAACGTTCATTAAGTTTATAACAAACAGGAACCGAGAAAATTCATAAAATAAAGATAACAGGAGAATGACAATCTAAAACAAAATTATCAAGTAGTTACAGAATTACTGGGTTAACCTTAGCTCTAGAAATGCTTAGACATCATTTTTCATTTCAATGTATTTATGGCAATGCCATCTTAAGCAAGTAGTTCCTTTCTCACATAATTTCCCATATACATTCTCAATTTGGCAAACACACAATAACATTGTGCAATACTTCCAATACAATGTTCAATAAGCGACAGGCTCAACAGAGTGGAGAATTTACCAAGGATTTTTTTAATTCTTTTCCTTTTGAATTGGTTTTTCCTCTTCTTTTATGTTCCACAAGCACAAGGGAAAATGAAAAACTAGTTGAAAACTTGAACAACTAGTTGAAAACTTGAAAAACTAGTTGCAAACTCAAAACATTAAATTTAAGGGATCATATCTAAATATTTCGAGACAAGAAACTTTTGCTTCCCTTCTTGCAGTAAGACTAGGTTTGATGTTTGTATTTCATCTGTTAGTACTCTAGAAATGTAACAAAGATGGACACCAACAGCAAAGCCAGTTTGGAAATTTCAATTTTAACTTAAATATAAATAGGTCTCAAACAATGATATTCAAAATACAAGCATAGGCCCTTCGTTGTACCAGCATTTAAATCTATGATGCAATTATGATCACAGCAAAGAGAAAAGAAACAAAAACAGTCATATTATAAAACACACATAATGAAAGGAAACAAATGAGGATTACCTTAGAAGTGAGCTCCTTCGTTCCTGCTTGAACTACATTAGCTGCAGACTGTGCAGCAGAAGCTGCAACAACTGAGAGACGACCAAATCCCTAGAGAACCAACAAACTGTTTCCATGAATATACAATGTACAGTGAAAATATATCTAAAGACAATAAATGGATTCTTAATAAATTATTTCCTAAAGTCAAGTAGAACTAGAGTAAAAATAAAGCTGAAGGAAACAAAAGAAACCTTCGCGTAGTCAAAGAAACAAAAAGACTAGCAGAAAGTTAAAGTACTTGATGAAAAGGTATAACTTCACTACCTAACTACTACATAACTACTACAGATGGTAACATAAACTAAAGAAATAAACAAATGCAGGACAGCCCTACCAATAAAATGAGGTGTTCAAGGAACAACAAAGATATTCATTCTTCCAAAAAGTTCCGTATAATCCAAAAGGAGAGCTACGTTAAGCAGCCGTTTCTGGATTTCTCAGATACCCTTAATTCACTCATCAGACAAACGTCTAATTATGGATGAGAAAAAAACGTTGAAAAGGATTCAAAGTTTCAAACAGTAAATACAAGTCATTTGTTTATGAAAGTCTAGTGAAAGTTCACCTTGTATACCATAGGTGATAATTGATGCCCCATATGTCGTCGTTTCTTCATAAATTAAAATGAATAGATGACATAAAAATGTAAATAGAAAGAAAAGTGATATCCGTACTCAGTTCAAAAGAGTACCATTTCTTATATCAAAAAAAATATTGCCAACTCCAGACTCCATTCCAATTACAAACAAAATGCATAATAATCTGAAGTGAATAAAAATTACATAAAAAAAATAGCATCCATAAGTTGAATTAAATCAACCAAACAACAAGAAAAACCAACCACAAACCCTTCCATGTCCCAATCAACAAATATCTACATTCAATTCCAACCTTGCATACAAAACTTCAAAACAAAGCAATCAAGAAAAGCCCAAAATTAGAATAGCACAAAAAATATTGATTCTTCCAAAAAGTTCTGTAATCCAAAAGGAGAGCTACGTTAAGCAGTCGTTTCTGGATTTCTCAGATACCCTTAATTCACTCATGAGACAAACGTCAAATTCTAGATGAGAAAAAACCTTGAAAAGGATTCAAAGTTTCAAACAGTAAAGACAAGTCATTTGTTTATGAAATTCTAGTGAAAGTTCACCTTGTATACCAGAGAAGATAATTGATGCCCCATACCACGTTGTTTCTTCATAAATTAAAACAAATACATGACATAAAAATGTAAATAGAAAGAAAAGTGATATCCATAAGAGTAATATTTACGCTCTAATTCGTTGGCTTCTTAGTATATTAAAAAAATATTGCCAACTCTCGACTTCATTCCAATTACAAACAAAATGCATAACAATCCTAAGTGAATAAAATCAGATAAAAAAATAGCATCAATAAATTGAATTAAATCAAACAAACAACAAGAAAAACCAAGCACAAACCCTTCCAAGTCCCAATCAACAAATGTTGTTCAATTGCAACCATGCTTACAAAACTTCAAAACAAAGCAATCAAGAAAAGCTCAAAATTAGAACAGTGCAAAAAAGAAAAAAGAATTAAGAAGTAAAAAACAAACACACACACCCCAAATATCCTCACCTGAGACATAACCGAAACTGTGTCCCTCAAAACATCACCTTGCGGATTATAGCTATTCCTCTGAGGCTGCCTACCACCATCAGATCCAAAACCAACATACTTCCCCCCTTGCGAGGGTGGTATACCGTCTGGCCTTGACTCATTCTCCGTCATTTTTCTCGCAAAAAAACTCTCTTTACTCGCAGCTGAAGCCTCAAGCTGTGATCTTGTATAAATATCATCAGATGACCTCGATCTCGTAGGCCCACTCCCTCCACCGCCATACCTAAAATCACTTTCAGATTGATTCCTCCTCATGTCTGATCGATTATCGACACCATTATCCCAACTACCCCAATCACCATCAGAATTCATGCCCGATTTCTTCGAGTTACCAGCTAAAGGTGGCTTTTTTGCCATTGATTCTTTGACAACAGGTGGATCCTTCCATGCCTTACCTTCTGCTAAAGCTTGGACCCTATCCCTGTAAATGCTCGCTGCATTGCTGTTGTACTTGGGGATTATATCTGTTTCTTTAGGGATACCATATTGAGCGAGAAAGTTGTTGAATTTGTCATTACCTCCGATCTCCATTTTCTTGAGCTGGATCTCCGACCAGGCATCCATAGTTACAGATCGGACAAAACTTATGTGAACGCCAAGTCCTCTGTGTTTCCCTGAGCATTCGAGACACATGAAGATTCCATAGGAGACAGAGGCCCATTGGGGGTTCTTCTGAGAGCAATCGACACAGATCTTGTTCCCTGGTTGAGATTGCAGGCCCCTGAGCATTCTAGAGGCCGCCATTCTAGACTGAGAAAGCCAAATAGAAGATTTCAGAAAAGAGAGGTGAGGACCTGAATTCAAAGATATAGAAAGAGGAGAGATGAAAACCCTGTTTCCAAATATAGAAAAAGGAAGAGAGAAAATAATGGAGAATGAAAGGGTAGAGAGAGGAGAGAGGAGTAAGAGAGCGATGGAAACCCTAATTGTAGAGATATAAAAGAAAGGCGCGGGGAATTGAGAGAATTACCTTGGATCAATGGAGATGGAGTGGATTTCTAGGATTTTTTGGTTATGGTTGAGGGCGATCCAGCTCCCGTTGAGGAGAGAGAGAAGGGGGGAAGCGCAGGAGCCTTCCAACGCCCTTCTCTCGGAACTTGATTGAATGGAAATGTAAGAGAGAGAAAGAGATAAATGAAAGCGTAAGTACGTATGCCGTGAGTATACAGTATGGTCTATGGATGACGCGGAATTAAAGATGGGGTGCATCGGATGTATCTGGGCCGTTCATTTTAGTGACATATATTAGTTTGATGTCTCTTATTGAAATGTTTGTCCGTGTACAATTAAAAATTCAGCACCGACGCCGCCATTTTACTTTTTGTTGCAGGACATCGCGGTGCATCTATTACAGGAAAATTCTCTAGTCGATATTTTTATTTTGGATGTAGTATTTATTTAAAAGGCCTAGGCTTTATAGAAACAAAATAGACCCTCACCTTAAATCCTAGTCTGGAGAGTACTTTCGGCAACTCAAATCTCTAGGATGCTCTAAAATCAATTTCCAACATCGAAAATAAAATTGGAAACTTAAAAAAAGGGCACAGATCTTACGGATCCATGAACACTTATTTTTAGGGCGAAAATGGATGGTCTAGATATTTTGTTACAATATACACTATGTTTAGAGTTGAAATCCTATTTTTTTCACAACCAAACTTTTCAATCCGAGATGATCGATATAAAGGCTTTCCAATGCTTGAATTGCAATTTTTGATGAGTTTAAAGTTTTAAATGGGTGTGTTTTGTATAAGGCTAAGGCCCTAAACATTCAAAGTAAGAAGCACCTTCAAATAGTACTGAAATATGTTGTTTCAGTATCAGAAGTCTTTATGACAGCTTAAAACTTTATTTTCATTTGTAAGTATGAAATTTAAAGATTTAAAAATTGTGCAAATCGAGCCGATCTATAAACACTTGAAAATCTTGAAAATTGATGGTCTAGATAATACATTATAAGATGCACTATTTTCAAGACTTAAAGTCTAATTTTCTTATATTCGTACATCTTAAGGTTGAGATAATTAAATTGATAGTTTTTTAGCATCAAAACAACCTCTTCTAGTGAATTTTTAAGGTACACCTTAATTTACCTTAATTTGATAGTCTAAGGCCTCATCCTTGTATAACTTTTTTCTTTTATTTTTTAAAATGTTAAAACTAGTATTTTCATTGTATAAAGGAGCAAAGCTCCACAAGTACAATAAGAAATAAAGAAAGGAAGAAATAAAAGAATACAAGTAATATTCCCTACTTTCAGAGGATGACCAAGAGACTTTCAATCATAGCCTATAAGCTCACCTTGAGGTTCCTACATCACCTATCGTCTAAAGCCCTTGCTAAACCACACAAAGCACTTCCCCCGGAACCTCTACCACCTAATCCAAACTTCTCAATTAGACACTTGATAATTACATTCCCTTTTGTCATGACCTCACATTCCAGGGTTGGACCAACGCACAACATAATAACATTGAAACAATACACAACCTACAGTATAATGGTGCCCAAGAGAATAACAACAAGAGCATATGTGCTTTGAGATGACCCTTGTATTTGAGTAGGAACATGTCCCACAAAGGTGCAGCAGTAATTCATTGAACCCCCAGCGGCAGGAAACGCTAGCTCAGCGACTTTGATGTGACCAATTATGTGTCTCTGCCATAGGCTGTGGAGCATAGGTCCATTGGATTGACTTGAGATACCGGTGGAGCATCATTCGGGTTAGCCCAATGGAAGACTCCGACTAGTGTTATAAGTTTAGAGATCTCATTTACCTTTGGCCCAAATTAATCTAAAATTGACGAGAAAATATTTTATATTGATGAGAAATTGTGTAATAATGTTGAAAAATCATTTAGAGAATTTTTGAGATTTTTGAAGAATTTTTTAGATTTTTTAAATAATAGAAAATGTGATTTTCAAATTTGTTTGACGTAAATAACAAACAAAGACATCCTATGGGGACGCCACATGGATCCCAAGTGGCCATTGGGATGCCACGTGGCTCTCCCACCTCCCCACTCGTGGATGACATCATGCTAATGTCATATCCATATGGGGACCTATTTGTCATTACTTCTTTTGTTGGTATTATGTTATAACATGTTATCTTGTTATTTAAAGGGTTATATATTGTTATGACTTAAGTTTGATTTAAGTCACATATTTTTTTTATCTCATATGCGTCATTTTTGACATGTGTGAAGTCATGGAATTTTGTGAATTAATTTAATTCATATTATTATCCATATATGATTTTGTAGCATGTAAGTATATCTTATGTGGCACCCACCTTACGGGCTTGACCTATATGAAACTTTAGTGTTCCTATTGGTGGTGTCATAAGATATTTTAGTCACATGTGTAGATGTTTCATATTACCTTTATGTCCATGTCTTTGTATTTTATTGACTATCACAAATTATTCAAAAACCATGGGCATAAGTATAAATATGAATTTCAACTTAATGGGAAATAAAACATGGAGCTAAGGGCTTCAAGGTAAATTGATTATAAACCTAGGTTTTGAGAAGTGAAGAGTGTCAAAAGCTTATTCATTGATTTTAGTGATAAGATATGGATGAGTGACTTGGATAAAAGCCTCTCATGTGTCATTAATCTATGACATCAAGGATCAAGATCAAATTCATAGTTATGAGTTAAGTATAAAAGTAACTTATGGGATCAATTATTACCCTAACTTGAGTATTCACTTCAAAGAGTGAAAGAGAAAGCCCTTGACAAAAAAGGTAGTCACCCATGAGACTATCTTCTTCCTTGAATTTTCATTTGAAACCTTTCCATGGAGTAGTCCATCATTTATGTGATCAAACCCATACCATTGCTCCATTATGGTATTGTTTTTTCTTCTCATATTTTTAATTCCTACCTCATTTCCGTTATCAAAGCTTGCTGTAATTCTTAATTTACAGTAGCTTTCTTCACTTTTGGTTATGAAAACTTGATATTTGAATAATCCCAAAACAATAGTCTAGTTCATATACATAGTATGTATATACTAGCTTGCTTACTCCATGATCTTGAGTAGTTTCAACTTAATTTCTTGATATTATTTTTCTAGAATTTTTTACTGAGAATATGCAATTGATGAGATGTGTATTTCATCATATTTGAGCATAAAAAATAGTTCATTGAGTTCCATTTTTAATGTTGAAAAGTTCGTGTGGTCACTTATGGATCACATGGTGTAGTTTCACCATAACTTCCTTATTTTGTGTAGTGTCTCTCTCAAACTTTAAAGGGCTATTTTGATACATGTCTCTCTCATGATTTGATCCCTATTAAGTGAAATAAATGTAATCATTTGCTTCCTATTGGATTGATTTCCTTGAGTTATTATTATCACCCGTGCTTTAGACAATGGGACAAAATTAAGTCCTCAAAAGGTCCTTCGTGGCCCGAGCACAAGGGGTTCGAACCATGGTTTCCCCATATATGTTTACATGTTAATTTGTTGCATTTACAGTTATTAAATGGATTCATGATTGGTTAAATTCAGTATGTTTTGTGAATATTGAGATTGTTTTTTTAATCTTGCGGTATGAGCTTTATTGCTATGCATTATTGTTTATGCGAATAGAAATCTTTTTGAATTATTATGATCAAGTGTATGATGTGTATGAGATATTATGATATATGATGAGGATGAAGAATGAAGATAAAATTATTATATAATTTTGATATAATGAGGAATTACGAGTGCAAGTCATGCAATATGTTGTAGAGATGTACAATATGAATATTTGAATATTGTATTCAGTTTAATTAAATTTTTGAGTAAGGGATTTGTAAGGGACCTATTAGGGTTGAATTTTATTATTCAAATGTGTATAAACCATGTTTGTAGGCTGAAAAATATGTATTATGGTTTTGTATTGAGATATTCATGCATTTAAACCCTTGAGTTTTTATACAATGAAATTTTTTAAAAATATTACATTTCTAGCCCATTGGTCTTATACCACCAACAATAAGGTGTTAAAAATTTTTGACGAAGCCTGCCATGTATTTCCTTGGATAACATTGTTGAATAGGATTCTGTAATGAATTACCGTATATCTTAACTAAATTAGAAAGGAAATAGCATAGAAGTTGTAATAAAGGTCAAAAAAGGGTGAGGACCTTAAAATTTCCCTTAACCCATCCTATGTCTGGGTAAAGGAGCTGGATTGTGTTGGGTAGGTAGCAAACGTAAAACATTGCCAAAACGTATCATGAATCCCGAATAGACCACGATTCATGTAGTTGACCCCAATTAGTAAGTAAAATGATTTGACAATGATGAATAAGGGTGGAAAAAGTTATATTTATTCATGTTCTTATTCATTTACCGCAAACAATATTATTGGGAATAGCCACTAAGCCCTTTGTAAGTTGCCACGTATTATTTTGTTTTGTATTGTTTTCTTTCATAGCAATAAAAAATGGTGGGAAAAAACTTCATAAGCTATAAATATTAACAAAAATGGGTTATAAGATGCCAATATTTTCAATTTATCGTTCAATTACATATTAATAATTAATAATTAAATAATTGAACTAAATCTAACCTATTCCTGCATTACAGTAAGAAGCTTTGAACCAAGTCTGATGATAGCTAAAATGACTACTTTTATGATTTTGTAAAAAGATTCAACTTATTATGGTGTTTGAGCAAAAGATAGAAAGGATTTGAGAGGTTTAGTAAGAAAAAAAAATCCTAATGAACTCTATGTACAGGAATAAAAGATGGTCATAATAATATGTTTTTAAGGGTTATCCCTTAGGGATCATGCATAGAGATCTCAAGAGAGATGGGTGCCCAAATCATGGGAAGAAATATCCATGAGATTTGATATCCAAAAGACTGGTATCCAAGGTTTTTCTTCTGGTAAGGTGCAAAATGAGAGATTGATTAATGTTGTTATTCGGTTATACAAGTTGGTTAAGGAAAAAATCAGCAAGGGCTTTGTTGATGTTTAAATAAAAGAAAAAGCTTATATAAGGTTGCAACCTTAAAATGTAGAATCACATGTGCACCTCAAAAATCTATTGGAAAAGATTGTTTTAATATTGAAAAACTTTATAATCAATCATCTTGACATCTCGATGTATGA